CTGTCCAAGTGAGGTGCCAAGGTTGTAAGGCCAGGTGGAATTCCCTGTGCAGACTGCCTGCACCACTTGGTGCAGGAGGTTCCCCTGTCATGAAACATGTGGTTTTGAAGTTGAAATTTCTCAATAAAATTTTGTTTAAGAATTTGGATGAGAATTGTTTGTGTACAAAGATAAATGTACTGATGAGATGTCACTGCATCCAAAGCAAAATCTTTGAAGTGATTTAAGATCTTCCCTTTATGTCCCTTTAAGTTTATGGCTTTGTTCATTTTAAACAGATAAAATTGATAATAATTGTGTTTACTGATAATAGTTTTTACTTAAAAATAATTGACTAAAAATAGTTTGAGATGTATTGAAATGAAATTATATGTGATATATATATATCATAGTTCCATTACTCTTAAAACTTGTAGAATATATTCAAGGTTGAAAAGGCAATTAAACACAGAGATAGCTACTGAACTGGTATGGTCTGAGACACAGGTCTCTGTCAGCTTATGTAGCCTTGGTGTAAATATCACAGAAGGAACATTGTACCTTCCCTTACTTGAAGCTTATAAGCCACCAGAGTAACATGAAAACAGGACAAAAATTTAGACATCATTGACAGTGTTTTGGTGACCAGTTTGTAGGAGATTTGAGCATGAGTTTCTGGGTTTAAAGAAAAAAGGAAACCAGATGTGGATGTGGATGTGGATGTGGACACCTAAGATCCCAGCACTCTGGGAGACTGAGGCAGGAGGCTCTCAAGTTTGAGTCCTTCCTGGGCAATTTAGGGACTTAGCCAAGACCCTGTCTTAAGGTAAAATTTAAAAGGCCGGGGATGTAGGTTATTACAGAAGGACCTGGGTCCATTCCAAGTACTGGGGAGAAAAAAGCAAAAGCAAAAAAGCAAAAAACAAAACAAAAAAACCAGGATTATCCTTATTTCAGAGAAAACTCAGCTACCTGTCCTCAAGAAGCTTAGTGTACTGGGAGGCAGACATGCAAAATCAGAGCCAAGGTCAGAATGCTGTAAGGACCATGGTTAAGGTGAGACTAATTCTGTGTGCTTAGTTCCCAAAGCACTCTCATGAAATCTCTGAGCACTTGTTATGTATGTGAGTATGCTAGACATTGGAATAAAATGCAAGCCAGTCTTTGCTGGGTTTCATGTTGACTTAAACAGGATAACTTGGGGCATAATCCAGGGCAGATACAGGTAGGCAGTTAGATTGGTTTGGAGCATAGAGAGATACTTGCAATAGGCTTATCTGTGAATGGGGCTCATGAGACTGGCACATGAAAGCAATCTCAAAGAAAAAAGGAAAAGAAAGTCGAGCCCTGAGTAACAAAACAGGGAAAAGCCTGGAAGAGAAGACTGTGCTTGGAAAGGAGCTACTGACACCAACTTGTCTTGAGCATACTTGCTATTCAATCGGGATTAGGAATGGAAGCAGCAGAAATTGATGCCTTTGCTATGTGTATATTCATTATCATGAGACTTTCTGTCTGGTTATCCTAAGCCCTTTGTTTATATAAGCTTTATCTCATTGGAAGAGATCAGACATGAAAAGAACTTGTAATGGATATTTTTAAATTTTTGATTTTATGTTGTGTCAGTGTTCTTTAGCTATCTGTGACATACTTGTTCTAACATAGAGTAGTTTCCTTTGTCATGGCCGACAACTAGACTGAGTGCTGCTTTTCTCCTGTCTTAATAGTGGATTATGTTCCCATGGGACCTGTAGTTGGTATAGATTCAGAGTAGGGGACTTAAGGACTGTTTTTTTGTCCTATTTTGGTTTAGTGTGGTGCTAAGCATTGAGAATTTAATAAATTCCTAGTCTTTTATTCAGGAATTATATATCTGTAACATATATCGGGACATATATGTTACTCTCTGCAGAAGCATGTCTCTCCTCCCATTACAAACACTTCCCTGGACTTCACACATGATGATAAGTCCTAAGGAGATAATGTGTGCAAAGCTCACATGGTTCAAGTCTTAGCTTGGCTGCTGTAACACAGTATCGTGGACTGGTCTAAAACAGTAGACTGTGGTTTCTCACAGCCCTAGGGGCTGAAAAGCTCAGGACTAGAGTACTGACAATACAGTTTCTGGAGAAGATTCCTTTCCTGCTTGCAAATGGCTTCCTTTTCCCTTTATCATCACATGGCCTTTCCTCACGAGTGTATTGAGAGAAAGCATGCAAGCTTAGGTCTCTCTCCATCTCACAAGGGCACTGCACTCATCATGGAGGCCCTCTCCCTCATGATGTTTTTGAAACCTAATCACTTCCCAAAGGCTCCACCTCCAAATACAATCCATATATGCTTGGGGTGAAGAGGGGATATAATATAAATATTCAGTCCATAGCAGTCTGTGTCCTGTAAAGCTTATAGGCTAACATGAAAATCAGAAAGAAATTTTAAAATCACATGGTAAAGTTAGGAGAACAGTAATAAATCTGCTGATGGGAAGACTCTAGAGTGATAGAAAAACTCACAATGGAAAGAACTTAGTGTTTGCTTTCATACTAATGAGTTACTGAAGTCTTGTAACCCCTTCACCTATTATGAAGATACTTAACTGCTTTCAGAAAATGTGAACAAATGAGTAAGAACATGAACGGGGGAGAAGAAAAGCCTGCTCTGTGTACATCACCCATAGCATGAGTATGTCACTAGAATTCCCTAACTAACATTGTAACAAGACATATTCACTGCTTAAAACTGTTCACCAAGCACACTAAACACCTGCCTCTTCAAGGGCTGAATTCAATAGGTCTGAGCCATATTCCTAGGTCCTTATCCCTTTACCTGTGTTATAGAAGGGCTTTATAGTTTTACCATCAGTGCTTATTTTTTTCTGTTGACAGCCAAAATTTCAGCCTTTTCTAAAATGAATTTTACTGTGTTCTTAAGTAGCTTTATGTGTTTTTTCCTTTAAGTAGCATATGCTAATGAATTCATCACTACCACTGGGGTTGATTTAATTTAATTTAATTTAATTTAATTTAATTTAATTATTTTGTTGGTCGTAGGGACTGAACCCAAGGCTTTTGCACTGAGCTACATCCTAAGCCCTTTTGTTTTGAGACTTTTGGGGGAGATATTGTTTGATGTTTCATTCGTTTGTTTTTGAGACAGGATCTCCATAAGTTGTCAGACTGAGCTTGAACTTGGAATCATCCTGCCTCATCCTCTCAGGGTGCTAGTGTTAGAGGTGTACACCATCATGCCCCACTGCTTTAACCTTTTTAAATTGTTCATTCACTAAAGTATAGATCTTATATAAAGAAATGTTTGATGAGTGATTTATTCTAAAACAGCTGTGTAAATTCCATGCAGTTTTTACTACTTAAGCGAAATTTGTCTTGTAATTAGTCTCTCAGCTCTTCAGCATTTATGTTCTAAAATTGCCTTTTATCATTTATTTAAATTCATTCATTTTGCAAATATTCAGTGAGTGCCCATGTGTGCTCAAAAGTTTGGTCACATTCCAGGAATTCAGCTATGCAGTCTACTTCTAAGGAACTTAAACATTAAAATCTCAAGAACTGAAAGAAACAAGGATAAAGGGGCTGGGGATTTAGCTCAGTGGCTTAAGTGACTGCCTGGTAAGCACAAGGTCGTGAGTTCGATCTCAAGTACCCAAAAAAAAAAAAAAAGAAAGAAAGAAACAAGGATAAAAACCTATAGATAATTTCCCTTTATGTGAATTCTAGCCTTTCTAGTCAGACCACCCTGACTTGACCACTTAGGACCTTGTCAGCTCACTTGACCCCTTCTAAATTGTTTGTGTCTGTAAAATGGAGAAAATTATTATGTTTACTACAATGAGATGTTGATGGACTGACAAATCCCATTAGACACAAAAATACAGAATTTTTAAATGCAGGAAACTTAAGCAATCATATAAAGAAGATAGTACATGTCTTGTTTCTTTGGGTCCCAAGTTCCTAGCTGAATATCCAGCTGGGAACACACTCATGTCATATGATCTGTTCAGCACCTGTGAGGTGTCCCATGCAAGAGGACTGGCCCATGTAATCTACCCTGAAGCTTCTCTAGTTCTGTTCGTGCACCTGCCTACACCACCCCAGCACGTGCGTGTGTGTACTCTAAGATCAGATAATGCAAAGAAGTTCCCATGATTGGCCCTTAACACACTCAGGCATCAGGCTCATATGGAGCTCCTTCCTGTAATATGTGCCTGTTATTTAGATAGTTAATGAGGTAAAGCTTTTAGCATTATGCTTTGGCACAAAGTAAGCATTCAGTAATGTATTAACCCCATTCATACATCATTACAATGATTATTAACTCATTAATTGGCATTCTCCATATACATTAAAAATAAAACTATTTCAGAAGCATCTTGTTTTCCAAATATGGTTAGATAACATGTTTACATTACCAAATACATTTTCTTTTTAGTCAGATATAAACATTTTCTTCTAGATTTAAGAAAATCACAAGAAATCTCTAATGTGTCATTTTTCAGAAAAGTGAAAGAATGTTATCTTTTCTTAACCTTGGTTCAACTGAAAACCCCACAAAAATGAAGGAGATTTTGCAGATACAATTTGGAAATGTCCATACAACATAATATATTATGTTGTCAGTTGCAAATCAGTGTTAGAAATCTGTACTGGGTATGGTGACACACACCTGTAATCCCAGCACTCGGGAAACTGAGGAAGGAGAATTGCCATGAGTGTGAGGCCAACTGGGCTACCATAGCAAACTCAAAGCCAGGCTGAACTACGCAGTGAGACCCTGTCTCCAAAAAAAAAGAAAAAGAAAAAAGGATTAGAAAGGTCTAAAATTCTTGTACTGGTGGCTAAGCTTCTACTGCATAATATTTTGTGTCACCTCTTAACTGCCTTTTATTTTATTTATTTATTAGTTCTAAATACAGTTGTTCTCCTAAAACAAATTGAGGCAGTAAGGCTTGCTAGAAACCATAACACTCCCTCTCACTCAGTCAAGGGTCCTGCTCCCATTTGCAGGTGCTGTTTGGCACAGCTGATGGACAGGTGATTGTCATGGACTGCCATGGCAGGATGCTGGCCCATGTCCTCCTGCACCAGTTCGACGGAATCCTCAACATGTCCTGGAACTACCCTATCTTCCTGGTGGAAGACAGCAGCGAGAGTGACACAGACTCAGATGACTATTCCCCTCCCCAAGGTACCCAGTCTCTGGCCTTTCACTTTTCTTATCAATTTAAAAGAAAGGAATATAAGAATATTGAAGAATGAGCCAATTTAGAAAAGGAAGGGTCAAGGTCCTCATATCCAATTACTAGGAAGAGTTCTGTAACTAAAATGCAAGGCAGGACTGACTTAATCTCTCTTCTTGATGTTACTCTTTCTTCTATGCTCTTTCCTCCACATCACCTGTGGAGCTGCTTCGGGAGCTTAGGTTTTCCTAGATATAAAATGAGGCATATGACTCTTCCCGTGTTCTTGTAGTATTGTGGGGCTTAGATGTTTAATAAGAATAAAGAGAGCTGAAGATGAACAATTCTGTGCTAATTACAAACTTAATATGTGGTATAACTAAATCCCTAATGGTATTAAAGCCTATAGCTTTAGTTACATGAGAAGGGGATTAGTTTTGCCCACCAAAAGCTACCACTTGGGACTGGTACTCCATGTCCTTGTCTGTTCTTTTGACTTGTGCAGAAGCTGTTCCCCTTTTAAGGACAGAAGGAACTATTGTCCCTCTACAAGAGTCATTATGGTGGTGCTGTTGGTAGGGATCATTTCAGACACCTACCTCCTTCACTCTCAGCAGTTTTGTCTCTCAAATAAGAGACCGGAAAAAAAAAGGGGGTAGAGAAACACCATTGTTATACAGCTAGCCTTTGTCAGAGCTTTGCATTGACCCTTCGATAGTATTTCTTTCCTTGTACCCACCTCTTCAATTTTGTCTTTTAGAAAAATTATGATATTGTATAAGGGAATGGCTCCTTGATTAGAAGTAGTCACATTATTTCAGGCTTCTCTCCTGTGTCAGCACAGTCATGCTTCTGCTGTGTGCCCCTAAGTTTAAGAACATGCACTCAACAGTTTTGGGCTTTCTCTGTTATCATGGGGCATATCATCATATGAAAAGCTGGTTCAGGGCTCTTTTCCCCCACCACCATCAGTGTCTGTCTTCATATACATTTCCCTTTTCTCTCTTATCACAGAGAAGTGATGTATTGTACTTTTTAATTACATGCTTGTATGTGGACAAAGGTGTGGTTCCCATAAGAAAAAAAGTAAGATTGGCAGTAAAGAGAGTTTCTCATAGACACAAGTCAATTTGTGAGGTAACTATCCCTTTCCTTAGTGAATAATAGCCTTGAACAAAGTGTTGGTTCTATTTCTACAGCCTCAGTAATAAAGTCAGTATCTTCATAACGTGGACTCAGCATACTTTTAAAACAGAACTCCTCTGTAGTAAGTTGAATCTATATTTACTCATCCTTGTTTTATTACTGAGAAACAAGGGCTAGCAACTGAGTTTACAGAGCAAGTCTAGAGTCAAAGACAGCAGTCAGTCCTAATGCTCCTGTAACCAGGTAACCTCAGAATAAGTGAAGTACTTTAGATGACTAGTACTCATCTTTCAATTGTAATGGTATTCCTAGCAACCTAGAGGATTTGAGCAGAGAGCAAGGTGAAATACATTATCTTAGTATAAAACAAGAGTGGGATTAGGGTTTTCCTATGAACGTCAGACTTCCCTGATGGCTGTTGAAGGTGAGCTAAGCATGGCTCCAACACCTATAGAAGCCTTCTGAAAGAGCCTTGACTTACCAGGTGTATAGAGGAAATTTTATCTTTTCAACACATGTAAAAACCAGTCCACAGCCCGTTGTGCCTGAGTACTCCTTTGGAAGTAGTATTGTCTTTTTACACTGCCCATGAGTTGTGGAGGTAGCAGAGGGTTTTAAGGTCTGCACCCAACTTCAGCCTTCTTCCTAGGTCTGATGTCTGTTATGGCAAAAATTTAAGAAAGGAAGAACTGATTGTGGCTGCTATGCTGCTTATTGCCTGTAACATTCAGTGAAAGGACATTTAGTATTGAAAGCAACTTTTCTCTGTGTGTTAGACCAGAATTAAAAAGACATTCCTATCCCTCCTTCCATGCTTGAATATTGTATAACATTAAAATAATTTGTGTTTACATATCATTAGAAACTTAACATGTTAACATGTAAGTTAATGAATTTACTGTACCACTCTCACCACCTAAACAGTTGCCTCTACAGATAAATACTGCATGTCCTGTTTCTCATTCTAAAGGAGTCTATGTTAGTGATCCACTGGTGGCCTGTGTGACTCCCAAGTGGTACCAAGTGCTTACTTTATTTGGTTACAACCCAGTCCAGAATGAAATCTACATTATCAGGCAGTTTTTAAGGCATAATGCAAAAGTGCAGCATTGGGCACCTGGATTGGGTTTCATGCTTGTTGCCAGCTCTTAACTCTGTGCTTGTGTTTCCACAGATGGTCCTGCAGCATACCCCATCCCAGTACAGAACATCAAGCCTCTGCTCACTGTCAGCTTCACCTCAGGAGATATCAGCTTAATGAACAACTATGATGACCTGTCTCCCACTGTTATCCGCTCAGGGCTGAAAGGTACAAAATGCTGCTATGCTCCAGCTTCATGAATCAACTCCGCACAGTTTATCTTCTGGGTGGTGTCAAATACCCAATACTTATTAATTCTTGTCCTCTGCAGTGATCTCTTTGAGCTTAATGGAGTCTGTTAATGAAGATTATTGCCTTTAGCTTTCCTGCTTATCTGAAAAGTCTGTAGCTAGGCTTATCTTGAATGGCATTTCTGACTTTCAGTCTCCCATCTTCACCTGCCCTTTTCCTCACTCTGACAAGAAAGGCCCACCCAGGTACATGGTGTGTTGCATCTGGCACACACTGTGTCTGCATAGTACATGGATGGCAGTACCTGCTGTTCTGAAGCAGAGATGGTAAGCAAATCATCATTTACACAGAAGCCCCTGTAATTGTAAGAATCTGGCAGGCTTATTAAGGAACCAGTCATCAGGCAACAAACTTACCTTGAAAGACCTGCAGAGATTCTACAGTTGCCAGACCAGAGCATGGGTGCAAAGACCAGCAATCAAGTGCTGACATTTTCCAGATGAATGTTGTGAAATGTTGATATTGCAAGAGAAAACTAGGGGGCACAAGCATAGGGAATGTTTTTAGTTTTGCAATTCAAGAGTCTGACATTTGACCTTGATGTGTTATTTGAAATAAATAGTTTGTCTTTTCAGGGTTGAGTGATGCAATTTACAAAGACTTTACAATTTAATTCCTGGACTGCCATTGGTCTTTAATGTTAAAGGTACCTACTATGATATGAATGAGGAGGTGGTTATAAACCAGGACATTCTTGCAACTATTTACAGCACTGGCCATCAGTCTTGAGAATCACTGCCATGTGCTGCTGCTGCTGTTGCTTGTCTGAATTTTTCAGGAATCACAGTGACATAAAAAAGCCAAATCTATGTATGTAACTTTTGGTTGACAGGACTGTATTGCACCCATCTGCACAACCGCCAAAGCACTTACTAATCCTATTTTAAAACTATAAAGTATTTTTAGAAGCAAATTATATTTTCTCTTGGATATTCCATTCTGTAGTTTCAGAACAGGACTTGTAGGGAAGTATTTAACCTGTAAACTTCTTTGGGACAGAAACTATGTAGAAGTCCTTTGTTCCACAGATAGACAGCATTGGGAGCTGAGTAAGTGTTTTGGAACTGATAATGAAATTCCTGTGTTTTTCTGTAAATTATCTTGTGCATGGTCTGTCTTTCTTGGAGATAAAATATATAGATGGTCACCAGAAGTCCCCCTATGTATTTAATACTCTAAATTGCATTTTTCTTGAAAAAAAATCAAGTTTTAATGTTTTTTTTTATTTTTTGAGAACCTATCTCTAGGTTTAAAAAAATCCTAAATTTTATTTTCTATCAATTATCATTTGGTTCTTTTATTCTTTACAAAGTTTTCTCTTTTTGTTGTTGCTTTGTTTTGTTGTTTTTTTGAGACAGAGTCTCATTATATAGTTCAGGCTGGTCTCAAATTTGAAAGAATCCTCCTGCCTCAATTTTTGAGTGCTGGGATTATAGGTATGTAATACCACATCAAGATAAAAGGTATTTGTTTGTCTGTTTGTTTGTATTTTGAGGCAGGTTCTTAACTGTGTAGCTCAAACTGATCTGTAACACTTGATCCTCCTGCTTCAGCCTCCCAAAGTCCTAGGATTAGAAACAGGTGCCACCATACCCAGCTCATACTTTTCTAAGTATTATTCTGCCTTTAGAATGTAATTTTGTACTCTCTCAAATCACATTGTGTTGGAGCAGTTTCTAGCACATTCCTACCAAATGTGCAATATAGGAACAGGGACACACTAGAGAGGTAGCCCAAGTAGCCCTTCCAAATGTGAAGGTTTTTTAACTTAAATTGTACTTTAAAATTTAGCCAAATTGAGCATTCTGGTCTTTGCCTAACTAAAAATCTAAATCTAACCCAACATGTTTTTAATTATTTAGTCCTTTCTGGAATGGAGATGCATTTGTACTGTGTCTTCCTAATTTCAAAAAATTAGATTAAGTGAACTAGACACATTCAGTAGGTACCTTATTCAGGTGTTTTCTCTTTTGTTCTGTATATCACAATACTTGAAGGACTCAGTCTTATATATATATGAACAGCAGTAACTTTTGTTTTTGAAATTTATGTTTATATCCACTGTCTTATAGTCTATATTAGTAAGTACTGGGAAGAGAGAAGCAGAAATGCTATCAAAGATGGCCCTAGTCATCTATCCTATTATAGATGGGTTGGTCAGTTGTCTCATGAGGAAGACCAAAAGGATCTCTGATCACCTTGATCTTTCTCTATTACTGTCTCCAAGAACTTTTCCAGGGGAAGAGGGTGACTCATGATGCTTTTGTCACCAGGACTATAATTTGTGTCACATATATAACTTAGAGTTGTAGCTCTCTCCTTCTCCCTATGACCAGCTACCTGCTCTACTACCTGTCCCCTCCTTTTCACTGCAGATCCTATTGGGCAGGGACAACTCTGGAGGGCAGCTCTGATTTTGCTTTGCAGCCATTGATGATAAAGTTGCCTAAAGAAGTAGGCTCCTGAGTAACTTAGCTTTGAGGACATCTACACATCATAAAAGCAGTAATGAGTTAGTTTAGGCATTGAGGGTTTTACCCATTGTTGTGACTTTTATATTGTTCTTGGGGAAAAATAATTCCTTTATTAGATCTGATCCTGTTAACCAAACCAGCACATATCTCAGAGTTAGAGCCACTTTTCTCTCATTTTGTCCCACACGGGTCTTGAAATGAAAGCAACCAAACCTTCAGGCTTTGTTTCTTTGTTTTGCAATTTCTCCTTTTATTCATTTAACCAACACTAAAAAATCAAGTGTGAGTGTTGTGTTGGTTTGGTTTATGGTCTGTGTGTTAGTTACTTTTTTCTCATTGCTGAGTCAAAAATAACTCAGTACCTGAAATTAGGGAAGGAAAAGTTTATCTCACAGCTCATGGAGGTTTCAGTCCCATACTCAGCTGGCTCCCAAGGCAGAGTGGCACATGGCAGAGGGCAATAGTTCATGACAACGGAAGACAGCAAAAACAAGAGCAAAAAGGAAGAGCATTGAGAGAAGACTCTTTCTGTCCCTTATATTATATATAGGCCACACCCAATTGAGTATAGCACTCATGCCCATAGTCCCAGCATTGGACATTGAATTATTCACATATTCTATTTTTTTTTTTTTTTTTTTTTTTTTGTCTTTTTCCTTTTCATCGGTACCGGGGATTGAACTCACAACTGCCTGCTTGCAAGGCAGGCGCTTATGCCTCTGAGCTAAATCCCCAGCCCCTATTCACATATTCTAGAAGCCTGCCATCATGACTGCATGAGGCTTTGGGGAGACATCCAGACATAAACCATAACAGCTTGGTTTTGTTTTTGAGGCAAAGTCTCTCTGTGTAATCCATACTGGCCTTGAATTTGCAGTTTGCCAGTTTGGAAGCCTCAGCCTTCCAAATCCTTGAATTACAGATATGTACCACTACACTTGGTTTTCAAGAGAGAATTTTTGAGGTAAGGCACCCCAGTGGCCCGCCTCTTCCAGCTGGGCTCCCCCTCCTCCAGCATTCGGCTGATAACTGCCATCAACCAGTGGAGATCTCCGTGAGCCAGAAGCACTGCAGCTTAGCACAGGGCTTTTCAGATGGAAACCAGAGCGTGTGAGCCAGGAGCACTGCAGCTTAGCACAGGGCTTTTCAGATAGAAACCAGAGCAGGGACATTCAATACCAGGAGCTTCAGGAGAGTTATAGGACAACTGCTAAATAAAGCATTTGTTTATTTCTTCTAGGTTGTATCTTTGAATGAAATCTTTAGGAATTTAAGCAAAGTCATTTCACAAACCATGGAAAGAGATATTAGAGGTTTGTTTTAATAAACTAAGCAGACATAGCTTACAAAAAGTTTCTGATTATGTGCAGGCTGGTTTATCCTCTTCTTTTTCCTAGTATATCTGAAAAATGAAGGACAATTTGCTTTTACTTTGATTTTCTCACAAATTTGACTATCTTAAATCCCAACCATAGGAATTCAGTCCCTGTAGAGTACACACTAACTTTGGTTAACACTGAACAATCCTAAATTATTCTTTCTTACTCCTTATTCCTGAGTTCCTCTTGTCAGGGTCTTATGCTACAGCCCATTCCCTGCTAATTGGAGTGACTACCTTTTTGACCAAGAATAGTCAGTACGGAGTACAGAGGAGCCCACATTGGTTGCTTATTCCTTGATGCTGCTAATTCTGTAATTAATAGAACAAAAATCACAGTATTATGTGTAACCTATTCTTTCTGAAAGAGTGGCTTGCATTCATGGATAATAGCTGTCTCAGTATTTTGCTGGCACATGTTTGGACTCATTCTCACTTGTGCATGTTGGACTGTGTTGAGACCAATGGTGCCTGGACAAAACTACTTTTTAACATAATTAAGACAATCTTTAAAAAAAAAAAGAATAATACAAGCCAGGTAATCATAGTTCTCTATGAGGCTGAAGTATGAGGATGGCAAGTTTGAGCCCAACCTGGGCAATTTAACAACCTAATGAGCCCTGTCTCAAAATAAAGGAGTTGGGTTGGTGGCATATGCCTGTAATCCCAGCCCTATAGAAGGCTGAAGCAAGGATCTTAGCAAGACTGTCTCAAAAAGAAAGAGGACTATAAGGATATAGGTCAGTGTGAAGGACTTACATACAAACAAATGCTCTGAGTTTCAATCATCAGTACTGACAAAAAAATTATAATTGTTATAGTTCCTCACTGAAAGTTGGATGAGGAGAACTGCGAATTTAGTGCTTGGGAGTGACAGAAATAGAGATATGATATGTTGTGATCTGTACCATATCACAGCAGCATTCCTATTTAAGAACTCAGACTGTCTTGTTGTTAACACTTTGACTGTTGCTATTCATTGCTTCTCCTTTTGGTTTCCTTGTGTAACTAATATTGCCATCCAGAGAAAATCATTTCAGTTTTGTGATCATGATCAGGCTTTTCTCTTGACTAGATCTGGCATTGAATATGCTAGAGTAATGTTAATATATGCATAAATCCTCCAGCTTCTTTCTTCACCTTAAAAATCTTGAATAAGACACACAGAGCATTGAACTGATTCTTTATTTTTTAATTTTTTGATTTTTATTTAAATTCATTTATACAGAAAAAGTCCTTTTGTTTATGCTTTCACAATTTCAGATGAATAGAGGTTTTTCATTCTACATTTGTGTATTACTATGTCAATTTAGCCCTCTGTTTCTGCTCTGGCTGAGTTGATGCGAAAGCCCTGAACTGGGGGGCCAGCTTGCCTCAGGGAACGCTCTCCAATTTTGAGGGGAAGTGGAAGAGTATTAGTGACTTCAGACTGCACTGGTACTAACACTGTGTCTTGGTTACTTTTCCACTTATTGCTGAGACAAAATACCTGACACCCAAAATGAGGGAAGGAAAAGTTTATTTAGCTTATAGTTTTTGGAGGTTTGATTTCATATTCATCTGGCTTCAAGGGAGGGTGGCATGGTTAAGAGGCAGCTGTTAATAGCAGCCACAAGCAACAAGAAAGAAAAGGGAAAGTCACATATTCTTCCCTCACTTATATTGTATGCTGGCTACCCACCCCTTGGTGGGTACAGCATTCCACTGCCAATCCCAGCACTAGACAATAACTAATCACAAATGCTAGACTCAGCTGCCTTCTGAAGGCTTTCCAAGACTGCATGAGACTTTGGGGGGCCACCCAGACACCATAACAGAACTATAACATTCCACCCTTGGCCCCCCCAAAGACTCATGTATATCCTTTTATGCAAAAGACTTTTAGTCCCTCTCCAAGAGTTGCCAAAATCCTAACAGTTTCAGCATTGCTGAAAAGTCTAAGTCCCAAGTCTCCTCTGAGAACCAAGGCAAACTCTTAGCTATAATTCCCTGTACCAATAAAAACAAAATGAAACACTTCCAGCATACAATGGTACAAGATAAACATTACCATTTAAAAAGGTACAGAGGGATACAAAGGATTGAAACCAAAACAAGTCCAAAATTCAGCAGGGCAAATATTAAGTCCTGGAGTTCCATGTGCTCAGCATCTAAAGCAATATGGTTGTGAGCTCCAAAAGGCTTGAGTGACTCCAACCTTACGGCACTTTTGGTGGTTGTAGCTCCCATGGCTTCTCTCTTAGGCCCCCTTTGCTTGCTCCTTGAAGATTTCCTTAGATGATCCACTCTCCTGACTTTTCCTAACTTCTGGGTTCTCCATCATACCTTTGGCTTCACACTCACAGTTTCACACACTGCCCTCTCAAGGGCACAATGTCGGGCTTCCCAGGCCCTCTGAAATCAGGGTGGAAGCCTTTTTAACCTCAGAACTTGTGCATTCTGTATGTGCTTAAAACCAACACCATACTGGATGCCACCAAGGACTGCTGCCAGCTGGCGCAGTAGCCAGGCCTTCCTCTTGGCTGTGGGATTCTAGTGCCTGGATGACTGGGCACTCTTAACCTGATTTTGAGGAACAAATTCTCTATGTTGCCTCCATTCTGGTATGGCCTGGTGGAACCTGGTGTGACCACCACCATTTTGAAACCTCTGTGGCCACCACTGTCATTCTGGAACATGGAAGTCTATGGCTTTATCCTCCAAGAAAAATCTTTCACTTTTGTAGTTTTGAGTCTGCAAAGCATGGGGACGTACTGTAGCTGGTGATGCCCTAAGGTGATCTTTTTTATTCTCTTCCTTCTCAACAATAGAGACCTCACCTCTATCTTTGCAGTCCACAGCTTTACTGGAGCTTTTTACTTCGCCAAATTCACAGTGTTCAGATCATTCTACTGGGCTCTTTGCTCTTGATTCACAACATAAATCTGGCTAAAATTCCCCAACAATAGCCATACTATCACCTCAATGTTCAACTGCCTTGAAATTTCTTCTGCCAGATTAATTAGTCCACTGCTCTTAACCTCAGTCTCAGGCAAAGTCTCTGGACATGAGCAAAATGTAGACAAACTTTCTGCCAAACAATAACACACATTGTCTGGATGCCAATAACCAGTGAGGTCCTTCTTCCTGGCAGAAACCTCCCGAGCCTGATCTTTACTGATTTTCTGCTCTTCTGAGCTCTGACCAGAATCTCCTGTGTAGAACAGCCTAAGGAGTTCCAGGTCTCCTCCTTCAGGCAGCATTTCCAAACTCTCCCACAAGCCATTCCCAAAATCTGTGAACCACATAGTCAGGTACAGTTCCAGGAACAACCCCACTCTACTGGTACCAAATTCTGTCTTGGTTACTTTTCTCTCATTACTGAGTCAAAATACCTGATGGCCAAAATTAGGGAAGGAAATGTTTATTTAGCTTACAGTTTTTGGAGGTTTCAGTCCATACTTAGCTGGCTCCAAAGTGGGGTGGCATGGCATAGAATCAGCCATTTGTGGCAGTGGCAGGTACCAAAGGCAACAAGAGCAAAAAGCACAAAAGAGAAAATCACACCTTCCTCTCTTATATTGTATGCTGGCTACCCACCTCTGGCTGAGTACAGCACTCACATGACAAATCCCAACACTAAATAATGAACCAATCACAAATGCTAGATTCATTTGCCTCCATGATTGCTTGAAGCTTTGGGAGGACACCCAGACACAAGCTATAACACACTGGAATCATTTCCATACATGAAACAGAGAAGCATTATGATCACTTGTGATTGGACAGAGAATAGAGCTGATAAATTCTAGCCCTAGCTCTGAAATATATACTGGACATATCAGAGCACCTTCTTGAAATTCAGACCAGTCTCTGCAAAATGATGCTTGGATCTAGATTTCAGACATCTCTGTGTAAGACAGATTATGACTTTAGGATCTTAAGAAAAAGCAATTGCCATGAATCTTTTACCAACAAAAACGGAGTAATTGGGATAAGCAAACCATTAGCAGCAATTTGACAGTTATTGGCTTATAGGTGATCATTGCATTTCCATTGTGAATGTTTGTTTGACAAATATTACCTACACCTAGCAGGAATATTTATCTTCTTTTACAATGATGTTTCATTGATGATGTGCTATAACATTATCAAGTATCAAATTAAATTCAGGGCCTTCATATGTCTGTATGTCCAATATCTCATTTTTATCTACCTACTTGCACCCAGATAGCAAATGAATAAATTTGGACTTTGCTTTTTCCTTTAATTTTTTAATTTGGCTTATTAACTTTTTATTTTGAGCATTTAAAATGCTTTCAGTTCCCTCTGAAAGTGATGGACACAGTGGGAAAGCACTAATACAAGGTGTTGTACAGGCATAGGTTGTCTTATTTAAATTGCTTTTAAAAACAGTTTTACAATCTCATTTATAGGAACACTGGTATTGGAGGTTGGTATTTAATATGCCAACTTTCTCCCTTACTGCTCATCTTTCCCTTCCTTTTTCTTCTTATTCAGTGGCATCTCATTGTGTTGCCCAAGCTGGCCTCAAACTTTCAATAGTCCTGACTTAGCCACCCAAGTAGCTGAGATTATAGTTATGCACCTCAGTCCCTAGCTTTAACAAACCAACTTTATTATGCTTGGGTTTCTACCTCACTTAGTTAAGTTTCCAAGGAACTGCAGTCCCCATTCATGTCTTCAAAGATAAGGATCATTGTTACCTTCATAAGCGAGAAGGAAAGAAACCACTATTGTATTTGCTTATGTATCCATGGTTGTAATTTCTGAAGAAACATAACGGCATGTTCCCACGCTTATTGTTCTGTGTGGTTTCAGAGGTGGTGGCCCAGTGGTGCACACAGGGAGACTTACTGGCGGTTGCTGGGATGGAGAGGCAGACTCAGCTCAGTGAGCTCCCCAATGGACCTCTTCTAAAGAGTGCCATGGTGAAGTTCTACAATGTTCGAGGGGAGCACATCTTTACACTGGACACACTTGTACAGGTAAGTATATTCTTAAACTCCACTCTTACTGTGTAGCTGGTTCTGGTAAATATTTGTGAATTGATTTGTCTTTTTTTTTTTTTTTTAACTTAAATGAATTGTGTATAAACCAAGGGAAACAAGAAAAAAAGCAAGGTTTACCTTTTAACCAGAATGCTTTATTTCATTTCACAGTCACATAAGTGGATAGCAAATAAGCCAAATGAGCTGGTATTGATCAGCAGTCTACAGAAGAAATCAGACATTTTTAAAAGTAAACACTAAATCTTTATTTACTTGTAAGGAAGAAAAAATAATTGTCATGAGTTCTTAGCTTGGACTACTTGTACAGGCAGATTAACAAAAGAATGTTTACTAACATGTATACCTCTTTTAGATTCTGAGAAATAACCCAGAGAAATGAGTAAATCTGTATAGATCTCCTAGAGTTATCATAGACTTCAGACTTAAGTATTTTATTTTCCCCAGTCCACAGCAACCACCATTTTATACTCTTTTTGTGAGTTTAAATACCTCATATATGTATATAGACTGGTTTATTTCACTTAGTACAATGTTCTCATGGTTTATTGATACTGTAGCATGTGCCAAAATTCTTTCGTTCCTAAGGCTCGATACTACTCCATTGTGTGAATACAGAACATTTTATTCACCCTTTCGTGCATATACAGATATTTGGGTTGTTTCCAGCTGTTGGTTGTTGTGAATAATGCTACTCTGAACATGGCCAAATAAATACTTCTTTGAGAGCCTTCTTTAATTCCTTTGGATATGTACCCAGAAGTAGAATTCTGGATCATAAGATAATTCAATTCTGTCTTCAGTTTTTTTGATGACCCATCATAGTATTCTCCACAGTGGCCACATTGTTATACATTCCTGCCAGGATTGTACAAGGATTTTAGTTTGTCTATGTCCTTGCTAACACTTGTTAATAGTAGCCATCTTATTGAGTGTGAGGTGATATTTCATTATGATTCTGATAATTAGTATACTGACCATCTTTTATATTTTTACTGGCCATTTGTATATCTGTAGAAAAATGTCTGTTCAAGGAGTTCTTTTTTTGGTCCATTTAATACATTATTTGTTACTGTTTTTGCTGAGTCAGATTTAAATATATCATTTACAGTGTAATATCTTTTGGGCAAAAAGCATGATTGCTTAAGCCTCTAGCAAACATTCTGAAAGGCTACTATCTGGGTAGCACTGAGCTTTACATTGTAATATTTAGGAACTGAACATGGATGATACACTCCATGCCTCCTAGGGTGTTGGAAGCCAGTTAAGACAGGCAAATAATCACATAAATGCTTTTGATTTTAAAGTAGAACTGTATACTAGGTGTTGTAACTTGGAAGAAAGGAATTTTAGTAAAACTTGATTTTTATGGGTATTTTTCTAGCTCTACCTGGTCCCTCTTTTCTCACTGAGCAGTTCTCAGGCAATTTCAACCATTCTTGCAACTTTAGTTACTATCTTTAGTAAGGTCTGGAGCCTAGGAAAGAGAACTATAAAGACCTATCTCATTATTTCACATACCCATCTCATAAGCACGCCAACATGATCAGTCCTCATGTTCTCCCCTCCCAGATAGGTTCCACTCATCCCTATCATCTATCAGCTACTCCAGCCACAAACCAAGCCAGCCAGATTCTTCTGTCTTGTCCATTCCCCTGCCCATGAATTCCAGTAGATGTTTTTACCTTCTAGATATTTCAGCATCTTTTTTGTGTGTATGAGCCAGTATCCTAGTTGAAGCTATCATCTTTTCATTTGTAGTGTTAATTTTATTCATTTCCCTTCTAAACTATTTTTCACTTGGTAGACAGTCTTTTTAAAATCATTAGTCAAATCAGTTGCTTACTGAATTAAGGATAAAGTCCCCAGTCTCTTGAACCTTAGAGATCTCCACTGTCATCCTCTCTAGAATTAGCTTTTACTACTCTGTCCTCCAACCCTGACATTCTTCATTCTTCTCCTCCTCTCTTGTTCCAGATACTTCTGTGCTTCTGTCTGAACAGATACATCACTACTATAGAGGCCAGCCTGTTGAGTTATGCTCATTATCCCCTGTCATTTTAGTTTTGATGATGTTCATCAAATGTCATTATTCCTTGAAGGTCTATTTCAAGGTAATTGAAAGCAGACTCCTATCTGTGGTGCCTTACCCATAATAGGCATTCAGTAAATGAGGATATCATTGAATGAAAAAGCTACTTAAACAAACTTGCAACCTACATGTAAAATGCTAGGGCTGCATCTATACTTGGATGGTTGTGCTGGTCATAGAGCAATTTCAGTGTAGCATGAATTAGGGAAATACACATTTACTGTTTTAGATACCTGCCCTCAGCAAAGCTAGTAAATATTTTCACTTGGAACTGATACTGTTCCAGAACTCATTACCATCATACCCTCTCTAGCCTATCAGTCCTGCTTCAGATTTATTGGAAGGTTCTTCCCACAAACCCTCACTAGACCTTGCATCCTCTCTTCTCTGGCTTCCCCAGTCTCATCTAAAGCATCCTCCTTTGTATCACCATATGCCAGCTAGTCTGTCTGCCTTGCTGTGCCTTAACTATGTCATCTTGAGCTTTTTCTCTGCTGTTTGTAAAGAGTGTATGTTACTGGCCCTTTTTCAGTCCAACTCCTCTTCATCCATAGGTCCTAGCTCAGGTCTCACCTACCAGGAAAAGCTCTCTCTGATGTGCTTACTCTTTCTATGGTACTTTACTCCTTCAGAGCTATGTTGTGTTTTATTATACTAATTCTGCCTTTGTAGTTACCAGATTTTGAAATTCTTTTGTTATCTGCTTGTTTCATAAAGGGCCTGAGTAAAGCAACCTCACATATCTTAACCACCATATTCTATTTCAGAACCGTTCATGGTAGAGTGTCTGGAAGCAGCTGTTGAATGAATAACATCTTATTGCTGTGCCTTGCTTTACATGATTCCGAGGAATAATATAAATTGATTTTTGCCATCTGTATTAGTTACTTTTTTTAGTTACTGGTAATCATAACATGATTTCTCTTTTTGAAAAACTAATAATAAGTTACTTTTAGAAATAAAATATAGTTTGAATATGCAAAAAGCTTCAACAGAAAATAAGAAAGTTCTTTAGGAACAAATGTGTCAGGTGATCAATGAATGGCTCTCTTATTCCATTCAGGCAGCTGCTATAGCAAAGTGCTTTCATTGGATAGTTTATAAATAATAGAAATTTATCTCACAGTTCTGAATGCTTGGAAGTTGAAGCTCAAGACAGCAGTAGCTTCAGCCTTTAGTGAAGGTTCACACTCTGGTCCATAGGTGGGTTCTTGTTGCTGTGTTCTTACATGGCTTAAGAGATAGAGAGTTGTCATAACTTAGTCACTTTCCAGAAAGCCCTGCCTCTTAGTACAACCACAGTGGGGACTGGATTTCAATTTGGAAAGATACATTGTGACAGTAGCATTGACCAAAATTTTTTTACTTTATTTGGTCTTTGGAGTTTTGCAGAAGTGGTACATGGAGACAGAAAGGGAGAAAGAAGCTTTAGGAAGACTAATATGATGACAGTGTGCCATAATTTCAGACAGACAGAATGAGGAAGGAAAAGTAGAACAGTGAGACTAGAGTAGCAGACATAGGAAGCAGAGTGATATTGACTTGGTCTTTTGACCATAGGAAGAGGAGTACTGGTGAAGGCAGACAATTTTAGTTATAATTCTAGCTGAATGTCTGGGCGGAGGCAATTAGCAGGTAGTTGGGGATGTGGAACTGAAACTGCAAGGTTGGACTGAAGACAGAAGTTTGGAGTCACCTCAAGAGAGGCTGTAGTTGGAGAAGTATAATCGGATTAATGCCAAAGGGATGAATAGGGAGAAATGGCAAATGAGGAAAGAGGCAGGCATAGAACTTGGGTAGCATTTAGCAAGAAGCAGAAGGGAGGAGACAGAAAAGGAATGTGATAAACCATTAAAGAAAATATGTCAACTAAGAGGATGGAAATTGAATACAGATATGAGAAAATTGGATTTGGAGGTCAAGATCAGGCAGTAGTCTAAATAGAATAATAGTAATGGAAGTCACATTGTCAAGATTTGTTCAGTCAATCTTTACTAAGCCATCAGTGTACCAAGCATTATTCTAGATGCTGGAGATTTATATGTATGTGTGTGTGTGTCTCTCTGTGTGTGTATGCATATATGTATGTAACAGCTGAGTTAAAGAATTAGCAACACAAAGACTTGGGAAGAAGTTGAAGCAGCAGATAGAAACAAAACTGTAAGCCATGTAAATTGTTCAGTGGAGTTTGAGCAGAAATGGAATAGAACATTGTAATTTACAGTGGAGAGATATGACCATGTTTATAAGCAAATTATAAAAATTTGAGGCAAAATAAATAAGCAGATACACAATATAGAGCAAGAGCAGGGAAAAAGCATAGGTTTGGGAACAACAAGGAAGTCAGCCTGGAGATGTATAGGAAGGAGAGATTGCAGAGTCAAAAGACTTAAGGAAAGAAGGGAATGTAGGCATGTTAAGGAACAGAATCCCTTTCTGATACATTAAGAGACTCTATAAAAGCATAGTGTCATGGGGACTATGAACCAAGAGTTACTGAGATAATAAGCTGAACAGCATGGTAACAAGCTGGACAGCATGATTTTAAAGTGAGAACCAGTGTTGCTTAGGCCTTCTCTGCATTCTTAGAGTCAGAAGCAGTATAGGGTGCCTAGAGTTAGGAATTGGAGAGGTTACTGTAGCATAAAGACCAAACAAGAACACACACACACACACACCCCAAAACCAAAGGGAATCTAGAGAACTGCTAAGAATATTGTGCAAATGGGCAGTCGTGAGAGTTGAGTTGGATGGTTGAGTACTTCATGACCTAAGACTGAGAAGCAGAAAATCATGGGAAGACGTTTTTCAAGAGGAAATGATAAAATCAGAATGGGAAGTTGCAATTGGATAGGAATTTCATATTCCTGTTTTAGAAGTAAAAATG